ATATAATGAATAAATGTAAACCAATGGTCAAATGGAACTTGTCTTTTATTCTCGATATTGAATCTCATCACCTAATCCTTAAACTTTTTAAGAAAGTTTACAATGAGCTAAAAGTTGGAAAGGAAGGTTATTTGCCTTTAAGGCACATGGAGGAAAAATCTCGTCAAAACTTAATTAATTTGAGTGTTATAAAAAAACTTAATTAACCATTATACGAGTAACTTTAACTTTGAGAAGAAAACTTCGAATAAACTAAAGAAGATTCATTGACCTAATCTTAGAAGACTATGATTTAAATCGAAAGAATACGGAATACGTGTCTTAGTTTCGGAGATATTTGGATGTTTAATAAAGTCTTGCTTACAAGTCATATGGTGCTAAAAAAAAATTTCACTTTTTCTAACATAACAATTTGTCATCGTAGTTAAAAAATTTAGGAAAAAACTTTTGCTGACGTTTTTTTCGTCAACAACCGTTGTTATAACTACGTCCGAAGATTTTTTGCTGACGAAAACGAAGTCGTCGCCATAAGTATTCTCTCCGACGAAAATAAAGGCATCTGTAAAACTATTTATGGTGACGATGGATTTTTCATTAGAAAACATAGTTTTTCATATGCTCTTTTCCATTTTCACACGACGAAATGTCATTTTTTGCGCTAGCTTCAAATTCTTGTAGTGATATTTGGAGAACTCTAAAATAGTTGGATTCATTTATTGCTCAAATTTTGAAACTAAATATTTCATTAATGACAAGTAATTTCTTTTAAGCAAATTAAAGTTAGAGTGGTTGGCCTTCCAACATTTGGAGAGAGAGTTTGATCATGAACAACGCCTATGTTGAACAAATGGATGACATTTCATTACCTTTTTCCATAAGAAAAGCACTTTCCGAAATTTAGGGATAATTAGGAAATTTGTTGTTTCTAAGATGCCTTATATTTCTTTCCTACGTAATGTAAAAAACTACGACTAATATTATCGAATAATAACAAATAATGCAAAAGCCAAACCGAGCATAACTCAGCAGTAATTAACATATATCTCACATCCCCACATGTTCTACTAAAAATAATAATAACAAAACAATATTTTGAATTCAAATATATATATATATATATTATGTGTATAATAATTAATAAAATTAAATAATGTATCTCTTTAATATTCCTATATTTCTTAAGTTTTAATGTTGCAAACCTACGAGAGAAATTGTTGATTAAATTTTGCAACCTACTTCCATTTGACGTTTCAAGTGCGATTAGGGATATGATTCAAGATAATGTTGTAACTTACGTAATGGAAGTAGTATAGGTTGCAAATAATTGGTTCCTCTCGTATGTTGTCATAAGTTTCAACCATTGATTGAATATGATTCGAGATAATGTTGTAACTTTAACGTTTGTATTGAAGTTTCAAGTGCGAATCAACGAAGTTTAACTAAATTTTAGGTTTTAGAATTTTAAAATAAGTTTCATAATTTTAAAAATCAATGATCGCAGCGGAAGCGTGGTGGGCCCATAACTCACAGGTTCCAGTGATATTACCACGCACCCTGCCTTCAGTAAGATTTTCAAACCATTTTTTAAAAATTAGATAACAGGACAAATGAATACATCACGGAGTCCTAAATAAACTTTTAACACTGAAATATAATCAGATTCGACATCGATATTTTCATAATGATACACAAAAATTTGACAAAATATGAAAAATAATCAATAAAATTTCAGTAAAACATACCTAATATTAATATTAATCAATTTTAACTTATTTAGAAATGTCGAAACGATTATTTGTTAATTTAAATATTTTTCTCAAGTTTTTTATTTTTATGAATTTTTTTTAGAAGTATCATCACCATTTATTTGATCATGACACATATTCCATTGAAACCTTTCCAAATTTTGGAGATAGATAATATATGGAAAACCCTCATTAAATATCATTCATAAAATAATTACCATTATACCACACAAAAAATAAAAGAAAAAAACGAGGAATATACACTTTCAAAGTTCCTCAAACATAGAGAAAATCTATGAATAATTTGAAGGAAAAAAAAAAGCAATAAACATTGTTCCAAAGTTATAACACAGCAGCTCTATCAACTTCAATTCATTCACAACGCAAAGGCGTCTATCCCAAATCATGATGGCCAACGGTTTAAGATTTAATATTCAATAAAAATATTAGTTAAGGTGTCCATCAGTTTGTTCGGATATTCACGGATATAAAAAAGAAAAAAAAAAACTTACATGCGATGACCACATATTCCATTGAAAATTTTGGAGATAGATAATATATGGAAAATTCTCATTAAAATACGTTTCATTTTCAATTGAATTACAATACCATTCATAAAAGAATTACAATTAGACCACAAAAAAGGAAAGGAAAAAAACGAAAAATATACACTTTCAAAGTTGATCAAACATGGAGAAAATCAATGAATAATTTGAAGGAAAAAAAAAACAATAAACATTGTTCTAAAGTTATAACACAGAAGCTCTCTCAACTTCAATTCACAACGCTGCAATGGCGTCTGATCTCACCCTGTGATCCAGCGAGGACATCAATGGAACCCATTTTGACCATCGCCTTCCCAAATTTGGCAGCCCATTTGGAGCCATACTCAGCATTCTTCAACACCATTTTTGAGGTTGAAGAACTGCTCAACAATGTTTGATCGGAGCTCAGCAGCCCACGGCGGTTCTTCAGCTCCACGTAGTACTGATTGTCCAGCCGATTGGGGGTGGAAAAATCAAGCGCCACTGCCGGCTGCTCGCTCCTGTCACCGGCGAAGCTACTCGGCGGCGGGCATTTGTTCTTCAAGTAAGCTGCGTAGGAGGGGTCCATGGAAGGGTCTTGTGGGTGAGTTGCGTTGAAGAAATAAAGCCTATTGGCGAAGGTGGGGCAATGGGCTACTCCGATGGAGTGGGCGCCGGAGAGAGTCACCATCTCCGCCGCTGACAGCCCTTTCCGAGCGAAGTTCTCGATGAGTTGATCGGCATTGGAAGAGGGACGAGGGAGAGCTCCGGCTTCTTCCTTTATCGAGATTCGTCCGTCACGACGGCCAGCGGGTACATCATAGCTGATACCTATTAGAAATACGAATAAAAGATTATTTTTACTATGATCGGTTGGTTTTTTAGTCCAATGGTAGTTTAACACGGATATTATAATCTATTTATTTAAAATTTTGAGTTTTGCGTTAGTTTAATACCTCCAACTTTACAAGCACTGTCGCGGGCAGCGAAAGCAAGAATATCAGCACAAGACACAGTGTTGGGACAAACAGCCTCAATTTGAGCCTTGGCTTTGTCAATAACCTCAAAACCTCGTAACGTCTGAAAGTTTGCAGGATGCTCTCTCTCCGCTGAATTTCCGGACGTGGATTCTAAAAGTACAGAACCATCGCAACCCTGATATAATCACACCCAAAATAGACTTAGAAAATCAAATTAAAATTTTGAGGAATTATATAATTCAAACGGGATGGAAGAAAAAGAGCAAAATAAAGTGGTTAAATGTCTAGTTTGACTCTTTGTTTCATGATTGTGTTTATTGAATTCTTGTAGTTTAAAGACTTTTTAATAGCCCCATACATATACTTTCTAGTTTTACTTTAAATATGACTAAAAACATCCCTATTTAATTAAGTCGTTGTGTCATTAACTCTGTCAATAAATGATAAGTTGAATTATGACAGATTCAAGTTTTTTATGGCCTAACTAAACAACACAAATCAATTACAAGAACTTATTGTAAACAAAATTAAAAATTTTGAAGTCTCAAAACCATTTTAAAGCAACTAACCAGAATTCATCAACAAAACTTCTAACTTAACCCGGAAAAAAAAAACTGATGTTTGAGGAAGTTAGAAGCATACTCTAACGAAGCAATCATGGAAGTGCAGTCTAATGAGACCGGCCGCGATGCCGGGGTTTTGAGAGACGGCTTTGTTAACAGCGTTCTTAACAATGGCCTCAGCATCAGGGCAAGATGATTCATAGAAACCCACTTGTAGATCAGATGCAGAACCCAAATGGGAGATCAGAGAGAGGAAGAAGATGATAGAGGGGAGCTTTGAGAGAAGTTGCAACTTTTGAGAACAAGAAGAAGAGGAAGCCATTATTGGAGCCAAGTAAGAGATTATGGTGAAAAATAGGATGATTTTACTCTTTCTTGGAATTTGAGGAATATAATTAAGAGGTGATTTCTGATAATGTATTTATAAGAAGCCTGATGATGAATTTTTCTAAGTTTGAACTGTTCTGAAAATTGGAGGAGCTAATTTTTTTGACTAGGCAAAAACAAAAGCCCTAGTGGGAGATTTTATATAAGTTTTACTGGGTTTTGTGGCAAGAAAAGGCCAAAACCTGTGGTGGCTTGCTGCGTGGACCAAGAAGAAATCAAACATTTGCATCCAACAATAATATGTCTCCCATTTCTAATCTCTTTTTTCCAATGGACTGGGTTAGAAACTCTTATTTTATTGCTAAACCTCGTTTTTACTATCATTAAATATTTTGTGGATGTACTTAAAAGATACATAAGTTGTCAATTTTTTAATAATAGTAAAGACCATGATTCTAAATATTCGTCGATATGTTAACATTTTCATCGACATGTCTATATTTTTATGGGTTCGATATCGATATAAAGGGTAAATCGACATTTTTATCATAGTAAAAAAAATCGACAAAATATGAAAATATCAACAAAATGTCACAAATATATATATATATATATATATATATATATATATATATTAATTATTTTTTAACTTATTTAGAAATATGAAAATGTTTATTTGTTAATTTAAATATTCTTTACGATTTTTTAAATTCTATAACTTTTATAGAAATATCTATGGACATCGACATTTTATCGATATTTACATCAATATTTCGATGAAATTGAGACCTCAACATTTACATCGATATCGACATTTGGTAAAGACAAGATTTGGTGAGCCTAGTATTTTCCTATTTTTAACTTTGCGTTTAATAGTTTCTTAAAAGTTTAAAAAGAATTTAATAAGGTATCTAAAACTTTTTATAACTACGACTTACTTAGTATCTCGGCTATAGAAACCTTCTACTACTACCACTAAATTTTTGATAGATTATAGGAGGTAGAACTTCAATAATATTTAGGGGTTAGACTTGTCAATAACATATCTCGGTGCTAACTACCTTTGAAAAATTTTACGGTTCATTATTTTTTACTTGTTTTTAAATTTCTTTTTTTACATTTCTCTTTCTTATTTGTCAACAATTTGATGGTGGTGTTTTCTAATGAGTACCTACTTATTTTTCATAGAAATTTATTGCTGCACCCACCACTAAATTATTGACATATTTGGGAAAAGAAATTTAAAAAAAAATGTCTCTTCTTTTTCTTCGTCTCTATGTTTTTCTCCTACTTATAAAAAGATTTAGCGGTAATCTGAGTAGTAGGAGATTTTCCACTATTAAAATGTATTTTTCAATTTTATTTGTTGTACTTAATAAGTTAAAAAAAATATATTCAGAGATTTTTATAAAATACTACTGGATTGTTCTATCTATTAAAATAATTTAAAATAATATCTGATTCATTTTAAATGGTCCGAGCAAATGATCAAAATAATTAGTTAGCTTAACCTTGAAATTTGGTTAATAAAAAAACGTGGCAAAAGAAATTATCAAAACTTATTTAAAAGTGTGCATTTGGTTAATCCAACGAGGAAAAAAGAGATACATCACATATAGACTCTCATGTATGAAAACTTGAAATTTATTTTAGTTCATTTTATTTTTAATAATATTATATTTAAAAAAACCACTTATTCTAATTACTCGAAATTTGAAGCATGATCTTAAATTCTACTTCCACGTGCATGACAAATAATAAGAACTATTTATATAAATGGCATATTATTTTCAAATATAGCATAAGTTTAAAATATTTTAAAAAAATAAGCATATAATCCAAACCAAATGTAATCCAGAGCATTTCTCAAAAAATAAAAAATAAAAAAGCAATATAGATCCCTCCAAGAAAAAAAATTATATTTATGCTATATATTTAAACAAAGGTAAGATTATGACCTTTTTTTAATACATATTACTTTTTTTTAGTACAACATGTATGCGAAAAGACGGTCGTTTCTCTCTAACCAAATAAATTAAAAGGATCGAACAATAATCAAAACGTAAATAAATCGAAAGAAATAGTAACTTAAATCACCAACAACAAGCACTAAATATAAGAAGGTAAGCTCCCCCGTTTATCTCCAAGAGATAGTTTGGGTGGGCTGGGATTTCAAGAAATATCCTTGAAATATTGGATTCAAATCACATGGAACGTAATTCCGTCAAAAAATGACTTGTTGCGAATGTACGGGTATGGGAACAGTGCTCCTACCATAAAGGTGGCCACCCGACTCCGGAGTAATAAAAAAAATTCTAAAGCACATGCTCACAACATGATATAATGATATGAAAAAGCTTCAAAACATAATCCTCATCTTGAAATGCTTTCGCAATTAGTTAATTGCCCGTTGTTGAGAGGTTCATGTATGAATTAAATGACACAATCTATCAACTTAAGCTTTTGAGTTTAATAATAGTTTATTTATCCTTGATATGTTATCAGAGTAAGAGGTTTTATATTCGAATATAATTTATGTATTGTTGTTTCTTCCCCACTTATCATAATTTCCATTTATTGGATCTTGTCGTTAAGTCGTAATTGAAGCCATTTGTTCTAGGTCATTGGCAAAAAAAAATTGGGTTAACGAGACTTTTGTGATATTCATATTTTATCAACATTTTCGTTAATATTTCTATAAAATTCAAAGATCGTTAACACCTTTGGTTTGAATTAGAGTCTTTTATTATCTTAATTAGTTTCAACATATGCTATATCTATTTAATAATTAAACTCCATAATCCTAACAATAACAACACCCTTGATTCTGGCTTATGGGGCTTTACAAAAAAGTTCTCAATCCAATGAGGAAAGGCAATAAGACGAATACAAACAAAAATTTCTCCTTGAACTCGAATATGCTTTCATTATTCCAACTACCATAACATTTATAAGAAAAATGAATTACAAGAAAAGCTTCAAAATAACAATGAAAGAATTACATAAAAACGAGAAATAATATACACTTCAAGAGTAAAAAATCAATGAATTTTAACAAAACAAGAAACCTTTTTTTCTTTTGTTCGGTAATGAAACAACAAAAAGTTCAATCAGGTGTTCAGATTGAAGCTCTGAAATTAATTCACAACGCTGCAACGGCGTCTGATCTCACCTTGCGATCCAGTGAGAACATCAATGGAACCCATTTTGACCATCGCCTTCCCAAATTTGGCAGCCCATTTGGAGCCATACTCAGCATTCTTCAACACCATTTTTGAGGTTGAAGAACTGCTCAACAATGTTTGATCGGAGCTCAGCAGCCCACGGCGGTTCTTCAGCTCCACGTAGTACTGATTGTCCAGCCGATTGGGGGTGGAAAAATCAAGCGCCACTGCCGGCTGCTCGCTCCTGTCACCGGCGAAGCTACTCGGCGGCGGGCATTTGTTCTTCAAGTAAGCTGCGTAGGAGGGGTCCATGGAAGGGTCTTGTGGGTGAGTTGCGTTGAAGAAATAAAGCCTATTGGCGAAGGTGGGGCAATGGGCTACTCCGATGGAGTGGGCGCCGGAGAGAGTCACCATCTCCGCCGCTGACAGCCCTTTCCGAGCGAAGTTCTCGATGAGTTGATCGGCATTGGAAGAGGGACGAGGGAGAGCTCCGGCTTCTTCCTTTATCGAGATTCGTCCATCACGACGGCCAGTAGGCACATCATAACTGATACCTATTAAAAGTACGAATAAAATATTATATTTACTATGACCTATCGATTTAAATTTTTTTAACCTAAAAGTAGTAAAACATGGTATTATAATCTATTCATTTAAATTTTTGGGTTTGGTGTTAGTTTAATACCTCCAACTTTACAAGCACTGTCGCGGGCAGCGAAAGCAAGAATATCTGCACAAGATACAATGTTGGGACAAACTGTCTCAATTTGAGCCTTAACTTTATCAATAACCTCAAAACCTCGTAATGTCCGAAAGTTTGCAGGATGTTCTCTCTCAGCCAGATTTCCAGATGTCGATTCCAAAAGCACAGAACCATCGCAACCCTGAAATGATAACACATAAGAAACTTATAAATCAAATAAAACTTCTCAAAAATAATATAATTCAAATGAGCTCCAAAAGGCAAGGTATATTAATTAGTTAAACCATAAGTTTGGTCTCGCACTTTTCACCGTTGTGTTTATTTATTTAGGCCAAACTCTTATATTATCCACTAACTATTAAGAGACAAGTATTAAAAAGATATATTAATTCTATTAGATACAAAATTTTGAATATTAAAAATTTTCTTAAATCTTTTGAAGTTGAGGGATATCTAACCGAGCAAAAAAAATTCGAGGAGAGTTTAGAAGCGTACCCTAACGAAGCAATCATGGAAGTGCATTCTGATGAGGCCGGCCGCGATGCCGGGGTTTTGAGAGACGGCTTTATTCACAGCATCCTTGACAATGGCCTCAGCATAAGGGCAAGATGATGCATAAAAACCCACATGTAGGCTTGCAGAAGCCAAAGTGGAGAAAGAGAGGAAGAAGATGATGCAGGGGAGAATTTTGAACTTTTGAGAACAAGAAGAAGAAGAAGCCATTATTGAGGCCAAGTAATTATGAGTTTTTTTGTTGGGTTTGTGAAGAAAAAAGTGATGCTGATAAACGTATTTATAGGCTTGAAATGAATCAGAGAGGGTGAGAAAATTGGTCTTTTTAATTTACTTATGTGAAACGAAACCGTGTGTTGAAAACTTGAAAGCTGTTGATTAATTGGCAGAGGAGCTGAAATTATAAAGCTGGTGAAATAGGAAGTTTTCTAAGTTTGAAGTGTTCTTTTGATGAACTAATATTAAGATAATTGAAACTTTCCCTCTCCTCTCTCCATGATTTCTCAAATAAAATATTTGTTTATGATCGATCAATTTTGTATTCACTACTTTTAAATGTTTGATAACCAATTAAAGAAAAGACGTGTAATAATAGAGACTTTAAAATAAATAAAATATATATAAAAATAATAATGAATTGTGATTTAAAAAAAAATAATGAATTGTGATTTTCAATAGTGGCCATAATAAAATTTAGTTCTTACTAGCAAAGTATTTTCTTTTTTCAAATAGATTAATTGGAGAGAGAGGTGATTATAATTGACTAGAAGAAGAAATCCCTAGTGGGAGATTTTTTTTGTTTTTTTTTTTCTTTGAAAAAACCCTAGTAGACGATATTAAATCTAAAATAAGCTGTGTGGGCATAGGAAGGAGGGGAAAAAGGAAAACCTTGGCTGCATTGGACCAAGTAGGTGTAGGGAGAGAGAGTCAACATTTTCATGTTCATATTATAGTGGTTGGATATATAGAATCAATCAATTCATGCACCCTCTTTAAAAAAAAATATATATATATATATATATAATTCATGCACTCTTATTTTTACGTGGAGAGTCGGGAGGTAATGTTTATTTTTTTTTTCTCATTTTCAATTATTTAGAAATATAAACGTTTTGGTAACTGTTTCTATTTTTCTATTTTTATTTTAAAAAATGTTTTTAAAATTATTGTCTAAAATTTTTAGCAAAAAAAAAATTCAAGTTTCTTGCTATTATTCTTGTTTCCAATTTTCTTCAAAACTTAGATAAAAAATTTGAATGTTTACTTTGAAAAATTAATTTTCATATACAATTTTTACTTTTTTTTATTTAAAGTTTTAGAGAACACGTAACCATTGTTTTTGTTTATTTCTTTGATAAAAAATAAATAACAATAAATAATTACAAAAGATAATTTTATTTTATTTTTAATAAAAAATATGAAACTAGAAACAAGAACCATAAACGTTGTTACTTAATAACCTCTTAAAAGGCATGTTTCATATATTTGATCCACAATTAATTTATTGTTTTCAAATACACTCAATCAAATTATTACTTCACAAGTTTAATTTAGTTTATTTAATTTCTTGTGTTTTAATTTCAAATACATATAATTGTATTTGATCAAGATTTAATTTAATTTCTTATTTTTAAACATGAACCTTGTTACCAAATACAACCATTTTAGTGCAACCAAATAAAGTTGGGATTAAAATCATTTTTAAGGAAATAAAACCATGGTATAGAAAACGTTTGAAACAATGCTTTTAAAAAAACTGATTAAATTAGAAGGTATATCAAACACGTATAATTACTATAGTTAGATGATAATACATTGTGTAATTTTTCTCATCCTAAAATAGATAAATAATTTTTTTTTAAATAGTCTAAGAAATGAGCCTTGAAAAGCTTCTCAAATGTAAAAAGAAAAAAAAATCATTAGAATTATTTAGTGTTGAAATTTGCTTGATATGAAAAAAACGTGGAAAAAGAAATGGTCAATACATGGAAAATTTAGTTGAAAAAAAATACACCGTTGACTATCATTGATGTCAATTTTGATAGTAGTATTTTTTAAAAGAATAACGTACTAATAATTTTTTATTCTACTTCATGCTTCTTTAAAAAAAGTCTTTGATATATATATATATATATATATATATATATATATATATATATATATATAATTTTAACGATTACTCTGTTTATGCAAAGGATTGCACTACGCTGTTTGACGAACCAAACTCGAATCCGGTCCCCGGCTCGATCTGAACTCAAGAGTGAACCTGCACAAGGTAAACTCTCTGACGCTCAAGTCAGTGTAGATCGGACTCAATATTAAGTTCGAGGTAAGATTCGATACCTGAGCGTGAAATGAGGCCCTCTATTTATAGGTGGCGGGTCCGACAATATTCACGACCGGCGGTTACCTTTGTCCTTTTTCACGTCGAACCTGTCGGGTTTGAGCAGATCAAACCCTCCCAGGTCAGACCGGGGCTCTTTTACACTTAGCCTTATGGGCGAATCCAGTCTCCTCGGCAGGTTCGAGGTGGACCTAGGATACTTTATTCCTTGAACACCAATGAGCGTCTTTCACGTGTCCCAGGTATTTTTACCCCAAACATACCCCATTTTTAATTGAGTTAGGAATACAAAAATTTAATAGATTTAAAATCAACCAATCGACATGGTTTTTTTAGTTAGAAATATATGACACCAGATGCAATCATGAAACCTTTTTATCTCACATCGCTTGTGTTACTGTTGGTGAAGTCTTTATAAAGAAACGGTAAAGTAAAATCATTTGCCAAGCCTGGTTACGTGGGCACGTGACCCAAGTGAGGGCATAATATGAGAGGGATTTACTGGGGTTGATTGTGGGCTGATCAACCGCTCTTAAAGATGGATTGTAATTGACACAGAATATTGCTGAGACGATCGAGTGTCAGTTGTTGGGCCAAACTTAGAAGGACTAAATTTAGGTTCCAATTGAGGTTAGCTGGCTTATAGCATATATTTTATATTGATAAATCCTTAAAAAAAATATTATACACATTTAATAGTTGATTTTGTGTATTAATTTTGTGAGAGAAGCTTGATTCTTATCAAACAAGTGAGTTTGTGTTATTTAAAAAAAAAAAAGAGAGAAAAATAGTAAGTTTGTAGAGTTCTTTATTATTATTTTCTTTTTCTTTTTTTTTTAAATAAAATTTAGTAGGTGAATGAGTAGAAATGGAATAGAATACAAAATTTGTAACACTTCTTTAAGATTTTTATTATTATTTTTTTAGTACGGAATGAAGATTCAAACTCAAGATTTTTCTTAAATATACATTAAGTTTTAACTCGTTGAACTATGCTCACGGGTTTAAAACATTTTCTAAGTTTAATAAACTTAGTTTATGTTCAATCAGTTGAAATTGAAAGTTTAAATAGAATATTAATACAACTTAGGAGTAAAAACCGATTTATATATATATATATATATATATATCAAATTAAGGGTAAAAATGGTAATTATGTAAAAAAAAAAAGGTAAAATGGTAATTTAATTCTAGGCAAATAAGAATTATCCCAGTCAAGGCCATTCGTGTTCCGTGTGGGAATGAAAAAAGTCGAGCATCCAAACAGCATAATTCAAAACAGAACCCAGTGGCGATTCCTGTTTCTTTCGATCTCAACCTCCAATATTCAATTCTCCGCGAGGAAGAATTTTGTAGGGTTTTACGGTTCGTTTCGAGTCTGAAAGAAGTGCCAATGAGTGAAGAATCAGCTCTAAAAATGGCTTCCCGTTGTCAGTTTTGGCTTCCGAAGAAGAACAGATTCTGCGCAAATGCTCCCATCAACGATTCCAAGTACCACCGCCACCCCTCTCTCTCTCTGGAACTAATGGCTAATTCAATCGCTCAGATCTCTGATAATTTCTCTTTGATTTTCGAAATCTTTTAAGGTTTTGTGGCAATCACAGCTCCAGAGCTGATGGACAATGGGTTCCGTGTCCCGTAGACCCGTCTCAGTAAGCTCGCTCRCTCACCATCTTCCTCTTCGAATTTGGTAAAACAATTCTCAGTTTATTCTGTTCTTTGTATTTACTTCTGTAGTTCTGTGCTTCGGGAAAATCTCGAATGGCATGTAAAGAGGTGTCCATTATTGAAACAAGCACAATCCTTGGCTACCCAGCCCTTCTATCAAAAGGGCATCAATGCTGGGGAGGAAGATTCAATATCGTCAAATGAACAGGCTTCTGATTTTTCAGATAGCTTTTCCTCTGAAATGAAGAGGAATATCGTTTATGGAATGTCTGGAGCCGAATTTCATCGGCTTCTTGGGAAGATTAGGGCTCTTCATGGCTTGATATGCAAGGATATTCAAGACTCTTGTAGGATAAAGGAAGCTTGCAGTATGTGGATTAAAGGGGAAATAGATAGGTACTTTTGATGCTATCGATTAACTGCTTTCATGSGATTTATTGGATTTTTTGGTAAAATGTACTCTGTTATCTTTTGGGTAGGAAAATTCCATTTCAAGAAAAACATGTTCTGCAGCAGGCGTCGATTCTCGGAAACTTGGAGGAATTTGGAGTGCTGAGGAATTGCGATGGAGGGGAACAATGTGACAGTAACGGATCATATGGCAATGATACTAATGTTCCCCCAGCGGTGGTTGAGTTTGGAGCAGGAAGAGGCTACTTGACTCAAATTCTGGCAGATTGTTATGGTATCAAAAGGGTGTTTCTGGTTGAGCGGAAATCATACAAACTGAAGGTTAAAATTCGAGATTTTGCTCTTATGTACGTCTAGATTCTCAGTGTTTTGATTAGTTAAGTTGTGGCAGTCCTAAACCTCATTTGGCTTTATATCCTTTATCTTTATGTGTTTTCTTATGCCAATGCAACTGCTAGGCTGATCGATCATTGCGGCAGAAAGAGAGCTTGGTTTTAGAGCGTTTGAGAATTGACAGTAAGGTTTTCTCGTATTTTTTGTCTAATGCATTTTCAAATACTGTCTCTTAAACAAGCTAGAGAAGTACATTATCATCATATGCCTGCACTCTGAAAATAAGTTCTTTCTTATGTTAAGTGTTAACTTCATTTGACTTTCGATGACACAAGTATGGTTAAATTATTTCTTACAGTCGAGGATCTAAACCTGAATGCTGTTGAATCTTTACGGCATATTCCTTACTTGGCTATTGGTAAACACCTCTGTGGACCTGCAACAGGTTGTTCAATCATAGTAATGATATCTTTATTGTAAATTTTAGTTGTTACACCAAGAAAATTTGTCTTGATACGTATTTTATTTCAAAGATTTGGYTCTCAGATGTTGCCTTGCCGAACAATCTAATAACGTCCATACTGAACAGCATGGAGATAGGCCAAAATTGAAAGGCTTGGCTATAGCAACATGTTGTCATCACCTTTGTCAATGGAAGCATTACACAAGTAAGTAGTCCTTTTAAATCTTTCAAATACATGGTCCAAGTGAAGTAGCTTTTTTCCTGTTCTTAATAGACAAAAGAGGTACTCAATAGTTGTTTAAAGCTAAAGATGGCCTTCCCCATCTCTGCAGATAAGAGATATTTATTAGAACTGGGAATCACAAAAGAAGAATTCCTTGCTATTACATGGTTCACTAGTTGGGCAGTGGATGCTAATCATAGTGAAGATATTTCAGATGTTACCAACCCACAATCGTATCTTCAACCTAGGTAACCATTGTCACGTTAACCGATCATTTTGCAACATTGTGTTTGATGATGGCCATTTTACTTGACCTCTTCACCTGATWATCATATTACGGCAGTGAAAAGGAAGACGGTGGAACGAACGGAAGCACGGTAGAAGACGTTGTAAGAAATATGAATGCAGTAGAAAGGGCAGTCTTGGGGTTTATGTGCAAGGAGATTATTGATATGGGAAGACAAATGTGGCTCAAGGAATGTGGGTTGGAAACACAGCTTGTCAAGTATGTCCCATCTAGCATCTCCCCTGAAAACCATTTATTAATTGCTAAATGCAGAAATAATTGTGCTACTTAGATGCTGTAATTGGAAAATTTTCATGGTTTATTATGAGACAGCATATATTCATGATTTATTCTTGAACGTTCTTTTTCCATTTGGTTGTGGTTCAAAAGCAAGCTTCGTTTCGAACCATGTGATGAAGAAAGAGATCACATTTTTCGTTTTGGAAGATGTGTTTGGTAGCTGTTTCCATAATTCATATCTCAATTTGAAACTTTAGGTTAGGTACTCATTTAGTAGTATTGTATTTTTTTAGTACAATACGGAGAGGAGAGAATTCGAACTCATAACCTTTTGGTCGAAGATAGGTGCCTTAATCAGTTATAACTTTTTCTCTAAAAAAGAAAATATAGGTTCAGATTCAATTTTGAGTAATGGAAAATTGACTGACATGATCATTAATCCAAGTCATACCATAAGTTACTTATATGGTCTATTATAACTTTTGAATTATGGAGATTTTTAAATTTCATGAATTTTCTTTAGTATATTAAAATCACTCAAGTAGATAAAGATACCTATTTTATTTTTAAAGTCTATGGTTTGATCTACCCTAAACTCATATAATTAAAATATCATTACTATTGTTTATTTAAACATATATTTAATTTCATCACATTATTGAATTTGAAAATGATTATAATTAATACTTCCTCAAAATTAAATTAAAAAATATCAGTGTATCAATGAAGTAAACTAAAATAGATTCAACTAACAAAATATTTAAAAGAATGTCTAAAAACAAATTTGAAAATACTCAACTTAGACACAAAATTAAACTAATTAAAATGCTCAAATTTATATATAAAATGTCTAAATCCAACTTATTAAAAACATCTTACAATTGAATGAATAAATACCCAAAAAATAGTTTCATCCAACCATAGAAACACTCCTACCTAGTCACAAGTTTCAGAGAAAAAAAAAGAGTTTTTTTTTCATATCTAAATTTTAGCCATATAATATAATTAATTAAAAATTTAATTGAATCAATCGGTTATACTTACTGAGTTACTGTCAATAATAATAATAATAATAACCATAAAGGCGTCCATATCTTTTTCCCAGAAATATAAAATGGAATGTTACAAATTACCAAAACGGCAGCGTTTACTCCAATGGTCCGGAAAAATGACAAATGGAGAAAGGAAAATTAATCTGCCATTTATAAAAAGGTGTGGAGATGCAGGGTATCGAACCCTGTACCTCTGGCATGCAAAGCGAGCGCTCTACCATTTGAGCTACATCCCCAAGGTTTGAAAGCTTTGCGAGTAATTACTTTATATATAAATACATCTACAGAGAACTTCTACTTAGAAATTTTTCTTTTTAACATTTTTAATATTCGGGTCGAGGTGCCTAAGCTGGGTAATTGAAAATTTATAGTTCACATATATCACAAATATCGTTGTTTTTTTTATTATAATATATGTGGGTGGGGATTCAAACTCTCAATCTCATAGTTGGATACATGTGTTTTAAGAGTTATGCTCTGGTTGACTGTATCGTCATTTCAACATTATTTACATGGATTATCAAAATCTATAATTTGTAGTYTATAATATATAAATAGGGTCACGAATGAGAATCTTTACTTTTCCATTTTGCTCTTGAAAATTTTCATAAATTACTATTTAGTGCCAATGGGATGTGACTGCTCGGATCCACGTGTGTTGAGAGAAGTTAATTTATCTAATAAAGGTACGATTATTCGATGAATCGATACGTCCATCCGCATATAGATTTAAATCGTAAACCATCTATTAAAAAAATAATAATAAAATAGAGTGGTCATACATGCCATTGTGTCGTTTTTTCGTTTGTCCTAAACTAATTTTTAGAATATCATCTACGAAAGTTCTTTCTTTTACCAGAGAACTCAAAACTTTTCAAAACTAATAGAAATTAAAAGTTTCAATCTCATAAGGGAAACATTGCACGGGGTGACATAATAAAAATTTCCTCTTCAAATGGCCGGTAAAGTATGACTTCATCCAACATTTTTACATTGGATCATCTTTGTGAAGACAAGAAAAATTAATTTATATATTAAATTAAAATATTCTTATTTATAATTATTTATATCGGATCTTACTTTATTGTGCATATTTTATTAGAGCTACGTTTCCTATGAGATCCATGGTAGAATTTAAAATTGAGAACTAATAGATCATATGTCATGCTTAGAAAAAAAAAAAAAATCTTTTATGATAACTTTTAGTTAATCAGCTATAATTTATTTTGTAGTTGTAAGGAAACAAAATTTACATTATAGGATGATTTTTGACAATCAGTTAAAGTTCATAATTAGAAGAGTGAGTGAGTGAAAAATCAAGAATTTTTGCATCCAATCTTATAAAAGTAAATAAGTAATAAGGTATGTTTTTCAAATACAAAATATAAAGAAAAAAATATATTTTTTAGAAGAAAAATCATTTTGGATCTCAAGCGTGAAGAAAATTGATAAGCAATAAAGATGTTATCCATGAAATTAATTGATGATCATTTATATTTTTCTACCATTACTTCCGTAAATAGTTAACTCTATAAAGATAAATAATAACATGCTTTCTTTCAATATTTTATTATTAGTATAACTTCAAAACCATGTTTTACTATTTAATTAAATAATGTTTTGACATTATTATTGTCAAAGTGAGCATATAGTTCAGCGGTAATTTGACATATACTTCCAATCATGACAAAAAATGTTTCGACATTATTATTGATATCGATTTATGGTGAGGTTCATGCAAATGCAGTTAGTTAAGACACATATCTTCAACTAAAAAGTCGTAAGTTCATGTGTTGTACTAAAAAAATAAAAATTCTTCGAAATTAAATTAAACAAATTATCCATGTATCAATGGTAAACTAAAAAAATATTCAATTAGACAAAATATTCAAAATCATGCCAAAAAAAACTACCCTTTTGAAATGTCTTATTTTAGCTATATAATGAATTAAAAATTTAATAGAAGCAATCGGTTCTACTTGGTCCAAAATAAATAAAGGCGTCCAATCTTTTTCTTTTATCTTGAAATATAAAATTGAATCTCCACAAATTACCAAAACGGCAGCGTTTAATTCAATCATCCGGAAAAATGGAAAAAGAAAAATAAACCAAGAGTTGGAGATGCGGGGTATCGAACCCCGTACCTCTCGCATGCAAAGCGAGCGCTCTACCGTTTGAGCTACATCCCCTGAATTTTGAAAGCAATATTTTGTAATTTTATTTGATCAAAAATAAAGTGTTCCAGTCCAACTACTTTTTTTTCTTTTTTTTGAGAATAAGTCCAACTTTATCTTCGACCTCACTTGTCAAATAAGGAAAGATTTTTATATAATTTCGGTACGTACCGTAATCTTGAAAACCAAAAACGTAGTAAATTAAATATTATTTTGTGACTAGAAATAAAGAGAGTTCCAGTCCAATTTGATCTTCACTTGTCAACCAAGAAAACGTTTTTGGGGCCATTCGCAAAAGTAGCAAAATAAATAAATAATAATAAAATTTTATTATGAGTGTTGATATAAATGTTTATATTATTTTGTTTTATTTATATTTATTGACTCAGTTTCTCTTATTTAACTGTGTTTGTTTTTTTTACAAATTTTAAATTAAATGTTTGTTTTTTTTATTTAAATGCATGTCATCTATATTTGATATCATGCTGATATATTATTGGAAGAATCAACAATACTAGCATATCAACGACCTAAGATTATATATCTCATAAATACTTATATATCAAATTAGTAATATTATTTGAAAAGATAAAATCATAATATTTTGAAAAGTTAGAAAAGTACGTTTCAAATTCTCACATATTTTTTTTTATAATTTATGAGAAGAAAACAAGCTAAATAACCTCATCTCCTACGTAACAATCCACTACCATTTCCCATTAAGTTAGACCGAAAATCCCTTATCGCCTCTTCACTCCACAATTTCACATTCGCCGCATCGATTTCACTTCACTTCCCCCATGGACAACCCCTCCGGCGCCGTCATCTTCAACACCGTCGGCCGTCCCCAGTACGGCTTCGACAC